AAATGGTTTTTAGCAGTTCGAACGGATGGCATCATCCATTCGAAATTTTTCGTTAGCCGTTCGAATGGCTTGCATCATCCATTTGAAATTTCTCCTTTGCCGTTTGAACGTTTACAGCATCCGATCGAAATTTTTCCATGGCCGTTCGAACGATATTTGAAACCGTTTTAAACTGCTGGAACATTCGTTTCTCATCCGTTCGTTAGCACGGATATCTGTTAGTGTAAGTTTTTGCGTGAGAGGTCATACTTTTGTCGAAGACTTTTTAGCCGACTACAGAGTGAGTGTATCTCTCGGTGCATTTAATTTAATGCATCGTTGAGCAGTTCTGTTGTCTAAAATAATAGTGATAAAAATCAGAAAGGAAGAGCAAGATCAATAAAGACAGGTAGAGTATTTCCAGTTCTTCTTTTAAAAGCGGGAGCCATTCAGATGTCATCCGATTAATGACGAAGTAAATATTCATCCCTATTGGAAGCAAATTAAGAGTGAAAGTCAATAAGAATCGAAGAAAATTTAAAAAAATGTGGCCCCAAACTAAAAAAAAATAGTAGTGTCTCAAATCTCCCGATAATTTGACAAAAGAGATTTCGGGCACAACTCTCCTTACTTACGCTTTTATTTTTGTGGGATCTTATGAATCTCTGTTATAAACGTGGAAGATTTGCATAAAATTACAGTTTCCGCACTTCTGAAATGTACACCATTCTTGCCCAGAGATGACATGAGAGTTTCTAGTCTGTAACTACGTGCTTTTTGGGGTATTTTAACTCCTACAACAATTTAATGAAGCGTACCTCTCTTTTAAAAAGATTATAAACAACAACCTTGTAAGTCATTAACTTAGAAATTGTGGAGTAGGACTTTTTTTAGCTTCGTTCGAACCAACCGGTTTAAAATTGCAATTATGTTGCTCGTTCGTGACATAAATGGGGGCTAAAGAGGAGATTTTTTATTTATTTCTTTTTTTAAGGTTGCCGTTCCGTTTATTTCAAAACCAGCCAGCAGAATTTCATCTGCCTTAATCGAGGAAAAGATGTAAATAGAAAAAGCTGTTTATTATACACAAAAGGGAGAAAACGCTTTGGGACGAGTAAATTCTAGCATTAGCGATGGGTAAGATCGGTTATTTCGGCTCTCGACGTTTTTGTCAAAGACTTCCTTGGCGACTAAATAGCAGAAATATTTCTCGTGATATCAATCCAGTTAACTCCCGCCCCAATTTCTGGGAGAAGATCTTGCTGTGGTAAATGAAAGGTCATCATTGCCCCGTTCGGCTGAATTCCGGTAAATAGAATTTGTAAAAGTAAATTTGTAAATTTATTTTTTAAGAATTTATAAAAGTAAAATGAAACGGAATGCAATGAAGGCAGCTGAAGGATATTCAATTCCCTTGCGAAAAACTAAAGGCGTCATGCAAATGTCATCCATTTAATATCAAAGTAAATATTGATCTCGATTCAAAGAAAATTAAATGTCTGAGGAGAGCCAGTAAGAATAATCTGTCTCATGAGGGCTAAGTACTGAGTACAATTCATTAAGATCACATTGTCAATATATTTTTCAGAGTCCGGCGCAGAGGACTTGGGATACCAGTTCTTTCAAATTTCCGCTCTAGGTGAGGTAAGAAATATGTATATCTTGACACAATACTACTACCGGTCCCTTTTACAGCTAAGTATTTTTTATAGTTTTGTAATGTTTTTTGTTTTAAGAAAGTAAGTTTATGACGAGCTAAGGAATATGTGCTTTTTTGAGGAATCGCTTCCGAAATCGGGTGTTTGATTATGTAACAGCTGGATGATCGGATCCAACATCTTGAGCTGAAGTTTCTCTGATTGAAAAACAATGGCAATAATTGATAATTAAAAGAGAACATTTCGCAAGCTCTCGATTCTGCCCTATATCTTTGATTGTCATCGGAAAAAATGTCTTTAGTTCTTTTGACAAGACGTGTCAGTTATGCCAATTTCCTCTAGTTCCAGTAAGACAAGCTAAGAAATAGAATATAAAAACTGGGCAAGGATTCTTCGGTTCCTTTGACGCACCATGATCCGAGTGATCTTGGATTGATCTGTTTAGTAAAGAACGCAAAATCCGTTTTCCGATTCTTACTGGTCATATATTTTCATGGTCCCAAGTTACTGTTACAAAAAAGTACTTGTAAGATATATTAGTTACACTTGACTGTTTATTGTATTTCAATTGGGCCCTAAAGCTGACCAGTTATTATAAGAAATGCGACATTAGAAAGAAATCTACGTTTGCACTGCCTCAAAAATTACGTTATAAAATGACAACTAATTTTCTATCGATTTTTAGAATCTCCCACCGGTTTACAAACTTTATGTGGGAGTCTTTTCGTTACTTCGGTTAAGTCCCTCTATGCTACTCAAGAGGATCAAGCTAAGAAATAAAGATTCTCAAAAAGATGTGACAACCTTCAAGTTTGCTACTTCTTGCCGTGTAAATTAAGGAGTTTATTAATTTCTGCCGTGCACAAATGAGGACAGCAATGGTTGGGAACCTCGATCTTTTTAGTGATTAAATTAAACAGACGCTTACAACAAAACTGAATCTCAGTAGTGGTGTTATTTAGTATCAATTACAGGTCATTTTGAACTTTTTTATTTCGCATGTAGCACAGGCACTCACGTATTCAATTCAATATGAATCCCAAGTTTTGGCTCCCAGTTGCGTCCTGATGTCCCGGGTTGGTGTATTTCAAGCTGCTGTCCAATGTCCAACAGCGGAAAACTCCTTTGGAGGAATGTTCCTCAGAGGCCACACCTTTAAAACAAGCAAGGTTGGATGGCCTGCAGGGTGTTATTTGATGAGCGAAGAAGTCACGTGTCAAAGCTACAATTTCGTCATTGGTCATAAAGTCTGCGAGCTGAACAATCGAACCAAGGAAGCGAGACCTGAAGATTTTAGGCTCGCCGGATCAGACAAGGTTCTACATGAAAAGGGCAAAAACAGAGGTACACTTCCGCTCTCCTTACTTGCATGTTTGTCTCATTTTTCCAATGCAGCTATTTTCAATGCTAGTGTGCGTAGCGCGCGTAATTTTGAGCGCGGCCTGAGGATTCTCCGATCGGGGCGGCGAAACCACCAGGAGAAAAGGTGGGATGTCTGCGTACGTGGCTTCGGCGCAATGGACGTTACAAAACTATAAGCTAACATCCCACAGGCCGGAGCAAGGAATAACGACTGTATGTAAAACATACGAAACATTGCACCCAAACAAACCTCCCATACCTACCTCTACCTCAGAGAGATTCTAAAGCTTCTCTTAAAAGAAAAATCCTTTCATCTTAGCGGCAACACATGATACCGCAATGACTACAGAAATGGCGGTCTCCTTGGCCAACATTATCACGCCCGCGGTAGGAACAGAAATCATTAACCGCAGCCATAAAAATCCCCCGGCAGGGTCGTTCGAAAGCCGGTTAACGCTAACCCAGGATTAGAAGTTAACCGAACTATTAATTTTGCTTGTCTAAAAATGGTTTTTTATTGCTCACGTTTTGTGTGGCGTAAGCTTAGTCAAGCTCAAAACTGAAGGACAAACATGATAACCAAAAAACCTCACCGAAAAAGATATTTCGATGAGGTCATTTCTCTATGGAAAATAAATAAAAAGGAAATAAACACGTTTATAAAGCTGGTGAATAACTATTATGTATATCAGTGACCGTAAAATTCACGGCTGAAATTTCAGATAAAGATATAATTTTGTTGGATACATGCTTACAGTATACAGGGGGAAAAGATTTAAGGTGATTCCCTAGTAAAAGAACCTGCCATAGATTTCCAATGAAACTTGGTATGCTGTTGTTACAGGACAAGGAGATATTAAAAAACGTAATAAAAAGAGGGGGTCACCGTGCTTGTTTTCACGCCACAATGCTGACAAATACGGTTACTTAGGTGACTTTTGGTAATCTCCGTGGGCAA